ATCAAGGTAATTTCTACAAGAGATGACATCAGTATCCATCCAGAGAACCACTTTCATCCCATTATTATTTGTCAGCTCCCTTTTTTGGTGTATCAGGAGATGAAAGGAGAAGAGTAACAGACAAGACAAGTGCAGGCTGAAAATTCAAGCCACAAATACATGTTCTGCTCTCTGTACTAAGGATTATTTTTCAGATTTGATTGAAATGCACTTTAAATTAAACTTGCAGCAGGATTTAACAGTTAAATATTTAAAAGCAGGCACCACTGTAACCATAACATGCATACTTTAATAAAAGGATAGGCAACTTAAGGCATGCATGCCAGGGTGGGTATGCAATGCTATTTTCAGTGGCACCTGGAAGATCGTCTCATGGTGTGCATGAATTGGAGATGCTATAAAGTTTGAAGGTTAAGGAATTGAAGCTGATCTGAGATATGAAGGTGCGGGAATTGGGGCTGGTCTGAGATATGAAGGTGCGGGAATTGGGACTGATCTGAGATATGAAGGTGAAGGAATTGGGGCTGATCTGAGATATGAAGGTGCAGGAATTGGGGCTGATCTGAGATATGAAGGTGCAGGAATTGAAGCTGATCTGAGATATGAAGGTGCAGGAATTGGGGCTGATCTGAGATATGAAGGTGCAGGAATTAGGGCTGATCTGAGATATGAAGGTGCAGGAATTAGGGCTGGTCTGAGATATGAAGGTGCAGGAATTGAGGCTGATCTGAGATATGAAGGTGCAGGAATTGAGACTGATCTGAGATATGAAGGTGCAGGAATTGAGGCTGATCTGACATATAAAGGTGCGGGAGTTGAGGCTGATTTGAGATATGAAGGTGCAGGAATTGGGGCTGGTCTGATATATGAAGGTGCAGGAATTGGGACTGATCTGAGATATGAAGGTGCAGGAATTGAGGCTGATCTGAGATATGAAGGTGCAGGAATTGGGGCTGGTCTGAGATATGAAGGTGCACGAATTGAGCCCAATCTGAGATATGAAGGTGCAGGAATTGGGGCCGATCTGAGATATGAAGGTGCAGGAATTGGGGCCGATCTGAGATATGAAGGTGCAGGAATTGGGGCCGATCTGAGATATGAAGGTGCAGGAATTGGGGCTGGTCTGAGATATGAAGGTGCAGAAATTGGAGCTGATCATATATATGTAGTGCAGGAATTGGGGCTGGTCTGAGATATGAAGGTGCAGGAATTGGGGCTGATCTGAGGCCTACATTGCCCTATTCATTGTCATACCAGTTGTCTTGTCTAATGCTTGTGATTGACACTTATGGCTTGGTAGCTGCTCTTCACACGGCACTGGCGGCCCTAGATGGCACTGATGAGTATAGAAATAAATAAAGCTCCAAATGTGGAAAAGCTTGCTGACCCCTGCTCTAATACATGTTCCTTTTGTTGACAACTACCAACTTGGCATTTCAGCCACATGTCACAGCGGTGTCAGACTACACTGAAACCTTCCCACCAGGTTCCAAGACATAACGACCCCTATCCAAATCCACAGACACAGAGAAGTCTCTTTGTCATTTTAAACACATTCACAGATCAGTCTTTTTCAGCATCTGTATGGCATGCAGTGACATATGAGAGAAACCCGCCTTCGGCGTACCATGCATTATTGAAATATGCCAAGCAGTAAGAAGTGTAAAATGCTGTTTTCTGATATTTGTTTATTGGCCAGTCATGAAATATACTCCTGGAGGCTGAAGGTGAAATATCACACTGTAAACTCCCACGGGCTGTTACTCTTTACAATTCAGGAAACTGTTGAGAAGGTACAAAAAGGCACAAAGCGTCACCTATGACTGGAGCTGACTATGGCGGTCACGTCTAGAACCAGAACAATGATGCGCTGGGAGCACCGTGCTGGTAGTTTTCAAATCCTAAACCTTCATTTCCTTTTCTTTCCTTTCTTCTCTTTTTTTTTTGCCTTCCCAGAAACTTTACTTCCTAAAACATGACAATAACCTTCAGTCCAGGTTGACACTTTTGCATTGCGGTAACACGGTGGCACAGATACTAAGGGGTGAGCGGTGGGTGTTAGAATACATTATGCAGGTAGTACTGCGTTGCAGCGCCAATTATTTATATACGTATTGAGGAGGCCGGCTTTGATCCTTTTCATTGTTTTAGAGATTAAAAGCTGGATGAAAGTGGTTGAAATTGCCATGTCCTTAGAAAATTTGCTCTCAGTTTCTTCTGTGTCCCCCAAAAAATAAGTAAATTTGCTTTGCAAGGCAAAAACAGCGTTAGGCGATTTGGTCCTGAGTGTTTTATGCACGTCATATGAACTGGTTAAGGAGGCAGTTATGTAAATTACTAGCAGAAAAAAAAAAATCAGCATCATAATAATTTTTGCGCAAAATGGGCAATTTAGTCTATAAGCTGTGCGCATGACTGCATATGGATTGTCTTCATTGCGTGTATTAGGACAGTGTCCAGGCACCACCTAGTGGCTGAAGAAGTGAAATACAAGTCACTCTACTTCTCTACTAGAAGAGCTGCTAACCGCAATTGTTTTGTTAAAGGGAAATTCCACCTTTTGTAAAAAAAATAAATAAATGTACACTTCCTCGGGAAAAGGAAAAAAAATGTGCATTTATCAATTGTTTGCATAAGAGCCAGTAAAGCATTGCAACCGCAATCAATCAATCAATAGCAAGTGCAATGTTCTGGCTCCTGTAGACTCTTCTTCCTTTCCATGTCTCTACAGAGGTATGGACATCCAGTAACATAGACAGGAGGAAGTGTCAGTAGACTAGAAGTGTGGTGACCCCGGTGCACCTATATTCCATTGAGAACTACAAGTCCTTCTGCCTTGGTGACTGATCGGACTTGTAGTTTCTCCATATCCATCCTGGTGACACGGCTGTGTGGCAGAAGCCATGCACAGTCACACTGAATACAACCATATAAACAATCCTTTGGGGAGAAGAACCCTGCGATTCAGGTAAGTGGGGGGTGGGGGAAGAAGGGGTTTGCAATTTAATAGGAAGGCACCGATACTGGTTTTTCGGTATAGAGTACGAGTACCGATATTTTGCTTTCGGTACTCGCCGATACCAAGTACCGATACTGGTGCTTCCACTGGCATGGAGCCGGCTTCCTGGCCAATGAGAAAGCCGGGCGGCTGGTAATGACACGCCTCACAGCTTCCTGATTGGCTGGGAAGTCGGCTCCATGCTGATTGCCTGTAAAGCCGGTTTTCTAGCAAAAGGACACTGACTTCACATGCGGAGGTTGCCTGGCTTCCTGACCAATCAGGAAGCCGGGCGGCGACTCATGAGGTGTCGTCCGGCTTCCTGATTGGTCGGGAAGCCAGGCTGCCTACCAACAACTGAAGTTGGCTTCCTAGCCAATCTGGAAACCGGGGGGCATGTCATGACCTGCTTCCCAGTGGGAGGCAGGTCACCCCAGTGCTGGAGAAGAGGACCCAGTGCTGGAGAAGATGGCCCAGTGCTGGAGAAGAGGGCCCAATGCTGGAAAAGAGGGCCCAGTGCTGGGGAAGAGGACCCAGTGCTGGAGAAGAGGGCCCAGTGCTGGAGAAGATGGCCCAGTGCTGGAGAAGAGGGCCCAGTGCTGGAGAAGAGGGCCCAGTGCTGGAGAAGATGGCCCAGTGCTGGAGAAGAGGGCCCAGTGCTGGAGAAGAGGGCCCAGTGCTGGAGAAGATGGCCCAGTGCTGGAGAAGAGGGCCCAATGCTGGAAAAGAGGGCCCAGTGCTGGGGAAGAGGACCCAGTGCTGGAGAAGAGGGCCCAGTGCTGGAGAAGATGGCCCAGTGCTGGAGAAGAGGGCCCAGTGCTGGAGAAGAGGGCCCAATGCTGGAGAAGAGGGCCCAGTGCTGGAGAAGAGAGCCCAGTGCTGGAGAAGAGGACCCAGTGCTGGAGAAGAGGGCCCAATGCTGGAGAAGAGGGCCCAATGCTGGAAAAGAGGGCCCAATGCTGGAGAAGATGGCCCAGTGCTGGAGAAGAGGGCCCAGTGTTGGACACTGAAAGTTTTTTTTAACACCCGCTGCCCATCTCCCCCAAAATCTTTATTTAAAAGAATACGTAAAAACTTCTTTCCAGGTTCTTCTTGCTGGTCTGATGACGTCACTAACACCTCCTGTGGCAGCGGTGGGCATTCCTTCAGCACTTATCACATAATGATGTGACAATGACAGTGTCGTTCTGTCCTGAAGCTGGTGCTGGACTGAGGAGGAAATCAGGGACAGCGTAGGAGCATGGAGAGGGTAAGCAGAACTTAGAAATAACACAGGAAGGAAGGGAAGAAAAAGAGAAAAACAATCTTGGACTTGTACCTAAAGAAATATTCAATATCACTTTCTCAACCTGCAGACAATGAAGAAGCTGCAACGCACTCCAAATGTATCAGCTCTGCTCTCTCCTCCTGTCAGTGTGCTCCATGTGAGCACATGCCCTGCCTTACAGCACACCTGATTGGTGATTAGTACTGCTCCTCCCTCTCTCAGTCTGAATACTGCTGTGCAAAAGATAACAGAAAACCACTAATAAAAGTATTCTACACTTCTGGGTGTGCAAAATACTTGCTTCCCCTCTGCATGCAGTGGTTGCTCCCATCAGTTATTATGCCACTAATGGACAAATCAACGGCACGAGGGACCACAGAGGGGATGGGGGGAGTATTCAACTTATTTAAAGGTTGAATACTTATAGTGGTTCCTTTTCAATACACCAGCCACTGTATAGGTATATAAATGCTTCTATGGCAGGTGACATATGTTGTACACGTGATCCTGTGCTTTGCTTTCTACAACGTGTCTCTATAGAGCAGACAATCATAAAGTTCACTAGACTCTAGCATCAGAAGCCACGCCCACTGAGAGCTACCGTAAGAAAGTCTCCAAGTCCGTTGCTGTGGTAACGAGAAAAGACGTACTCAAGCTCCGCCTCCCACGTTCGCGCACGTTTTGTACACCCGGAAATGGGACGGGAAGCCAGTAGGGCTGCTTGTTATTGTTGGGGTACCTTGGGAAATTGGGGTGAGGTTGTGGGCGGTGTCAGGGTATGAGGCAAAGGGGCGCAGCTCGCCGATATGGCCTTTACCTCAGCAAACCAACCTCAGCTGATCCGGAGCAGCCAGAAAGATGAGCAGTTCCAGAGCTCCCTGAAGGGCCAGGCTCATGAGGCCTGCCAGGCCTTTACTGGTGAGTGCTTGGAGTGTAATGTGAGGACCTGGTGGGCTGCCACTGCTTGGCCTTGTGCTGTGCCGTGACGTGAAGGAGAGCAGTCATGCATGTGACGGAGGACAGGCATGCATGTGACGTGAAGGAGGACAGGCATGCATGTGACGCGAAGGAGGACAGGTGTGCATGCATGTGACGTGAAGGAGGACAGACATGCATGTGACGCGAAGGAGGACAGGCGTGCATGCATGTGACGCGAAGGGGGACAGGCGTGCATGCATGCGACGCGAAGGACGACAGGCGTGCATGCATGCGACGCGAAGGAGGACAAGGGTGCATGCATGAGACGCGAAGGAGGACAGGCGTGCATGCATGAGACGCGAAGGAGGACAGGCGTGCATGCATGTGACGCAAAGGAGGACAGGAGTGAATGCATGTGACATGACGAAGGAGAACATATGTTCATGCATGTGACAATGAAGGAGGACATGCATACATGCATGCGACAAGCATACACGAAGGACAGAGATACATGTGAGACAAGGACAGCCTTACATAACGGAGGATAGATGTACATGTGCTATGAAGGAGGACAGTTGTCCTGTGGGACGTACATGTAAAAGAACATATTGGATACTGCTGCTATCTGACAATTCTGCATGTGTGGAATGGCGTGTCCACTGCTGGTGCTGTGGTCCCTTCTTACGGCCAATACTGTGTCTCCTAGAGGCATCATGGCTGGCAGGAGGAATCACAGAACCCAGCAGGGGGCACAGTGACCAAAGCAATGCGCTTTTCTCTGCAGGACGGCAAAGAATTGACTCATTTCCTGGGGAAGGAAACTATTTGGATTTTGTGATCCTAGAGACAGGGTCACTTTAAGAACTTGCTCATATGTTGGCTGCTCTCTCTCTCTTATTGCACATTGCACAGATCTTTATTTCTTTAAATGTTTTATCTGTTTGTTTGTTTTATTATTATAGGTGCCAAAAAATGGCTGCAGTGGAGGAAAGAGATTGAGCTGCTGTGTGATCTCACTTACTACACTCTTACCACATTTTCAGGTAGGATGTTTGGAATGTTAGTTGCATTGTTCTATAATGACAGTTCTTTCCTTGCACAGCCCATAGACTTGGGATGACCAATCTGAGTGGTTCTAGCTGGGTCAGGTGACAAACTCATGTTCAGGGTTCCTTCCCTTTTCCACCTGCTGTCAGAAGGAACAAAAAATCAGGCACAGAGCAACACTTTCCTCATCCCAGTTAAGGTCCCCACACACCTTGCGATAATCGGGGGAAATCCCGCGATTGTACGATTATCGTAAGGTGTGTGGAAGCTGTGCGACCTCTACCACTGTAAGGCCGAACGACTTTAAACTTACGAACATGTTCGAAAACCCGCCGAGCATCGTACGATGTTCGACGGGTGTGTAGCATGTTCGTAAGATAAAAGCCGGACGGGCCGGTGTGCGCAAGCGCATACTGCCCATTCGGCTTCGCGATCATCAGAAGCACGCCCCTCGGGGGGCGCGGCTTGCGATCATCGCAAGTACGATCTGCCTGCCAAAGATAGGCAGATCGTACATTTTTTTAAGTACCTTACAACCATCGCAAGACAAAAGTAAGGTGTGTGCCAGCATTAGAATCTTCTAGCATCCATCTTCTCTTTCCTGCACCACACTCAGCGCAGAGATTCAATCTGATTGGTTGCTGAACTTTCCACTATTGATCATTGCGCTGCCTTATTGATTGAGCCCATTTTATATACGAGATCCTCTGGTGCACATTTTTAAAGCAGCAGTATGGCCTTACTGTGACAATACCACTTCTTTAAAATTGGCATACAAAAATATGGTATATTTTACAAACACCAACTGGCCACAAAAGGTGAATGTGCCCCCTTGCAGGTGTACAAAATAATGCACATTTTTCCAAAGGATGATTTAGCAAAGAGGAATACTTCTACGCTCCTTCAGTCTTCCTCTCCGCTGGTTCCAGTAGTGATGACTGGCTCTCTGAAGCCACTATTCCTCTCTGTTTGTGTAATCCCCACTTTGCTGCTTTACTGAGCAGGAAGCAATGATGTGCAGGGGCTTGGTGTGAACCCAGTTCCTCTGAGTTTGCCCAAACCTGTGCAAAACTGTGACTGACACAGCGCCCTCCTGAACGAATCAGTTGCGTCATGGGCATTCCCGCCCCAGCACCCTCCTGACCTAATCAGTTGCGTCATGGGCATTCCCGCCCCACCACTACACCTCAGAAAGGGGAAGGAAATGCCCCTGCCACAACTGATTGGATCGGGGCGGTTGTCAGTCACAGTTTGGGCAATCTGAGACGAACCGTATTCACACCAGGAAGCAGAACCTGAATGTCTATGAGCCAATAGAGCTGCCCCATGTACTTTGATACACATAAAAACAATATCTTTCCTAAATAATCAAACACTGGAGAGATAAATTACATTAAAGTGACATTAAGGGCAAAAGTGCCCCCCCCCCTCCCCCCAGACACACACACACACAGTGCTAATGTAAGGACTTACCTTAAATGATGCGTCTTAATCCGATCATCATCTTCTTTCCTGTAGTTTTTAGCTGTCCCTCCAGCGTTGGTGCGGGCCTCTGATCCATCGCTGACTTCTCTTCTCTCATGTCCCACGGTGTCTGTGCGGGTGCACGCTGCTCCATAGACTTACCTTGTGTCTCTCCTCATCATCTTCCAGCCGAACATGTTCGGACGGGAGCGCGTGGCGGAGACACAGGTAAGTATTAACCCTTTGAATTTATTTATTTTAAATCATTTTGCATATATCTACTGCTTGGTAGCAGTAGATATATGCAAAAACAAATGAGGGTTTAATAACCCTTTAAGGTGATGGCATTCACATGCAGACCTGGAAAACTTTACAAAGCCTATAGATTTGTAATGAAAGAGCCTATATGTTATTTGAGTCTGGGGTCTGGGTCAGCTCTGTAGTTAATGGACACTGACTGTATTCCTTATTTGTAGGTTGCTATTACAATATATGAAATCATTAAAAGAAAATAAGCGTTTTCATGAGATTTGCGTTTATCTGTAATCTTTCTGGCACCACAGGAAGTTCCTGTCATTATCAAGAAAACAATTTATAAATATATATTAAAAAAACTTTTTGTAGGTTACCAAACCCTGGGAGAAGAGTATGTGAATATCGTCCAGGTGGATTCTTCTAAGAGGAAAGTGCCATCCATTGTGCCGCGTTCTCTACTCATCTGCTGCCACACCTTGTTACCTTATTTCCTGGACAAAGAACTAGTCCACGTGGAACATGAGCTTCAGACGGAGATCGATGGAGTCCGGCTTTCACACAGCAACTTGTATTCCGGCAGCCACCACCGCTCATGGCTGTGGAAGTGGGTGCACAGAAAGATCGCTTCTCTCTCAGAACAGCAGAAAAAGACTCTGGTCAAGACTGTTTATGCCATCAGGCAAAGTATCGCCTTTCTCAGAAGGCTGCATCTGGCCATATTCTATATGAATGGAACCTTCTACCATATTGCCAAACGCATCACCCGTATCACTTATGTAAGTGGCTTGTTATTGTAATGGATCCATGTGTATTTCTTTCTAGAAGCGCAGTGCTCCCCACCGAGGGTTTTTGCTGGGCTCTGAGGGAGTACAGTGCAAAGCCCGCTCCCACTCTCAGGGTCACCGAGCTCACCTTGCTCCTTTGTGACTCCTGTGGGAGGAGATCGGTAAATGGCATCGCTAGGCTGAATAAGCCCGGAAACATTCAGCATTTGAACAAACCCTGAAGTATGATTAAACCTTTTTTTTTTTTTTGCATATATCTACTGCTAACAAGCAGTAGATATATTTAAAAACATTAAAAAGGTTATCACCTCCGTCTCGACGCTGGCTTCCATCTGAAGATTCTCGAGCAGCTGTAAAGGATGATGGGGCGGGCGCATGCGCAGTAGAGATCTTTGGCCGGGAGAAGATGAGAGACACGGGGTAAGTCAATGCACGCAGCTGGGAGTGTGCACATCCACAGACACCGCGAGAAGACACAGCAGTCAGCGCTGGATCAGAGACCGGCACCAATGTTTGAGGGACACCTGAAAACTACAGGAAAGGAGAAGCTGATCGGATCAAGAGGCATCATTTAAGGTAAGTCCTTAAAGCAGCGGGGGGGGGGGGGATTTTTTACTTTAATGTCACTTTAAGTTTGTGTATTGCTTCTCTAGTATTCTGTGCTGTCCAGTCGGCAACCTTATGGACAGTTGTTTACAGTGTTTTACATTTTTGTTCATTGCATAAAGCGAAAGGCTCATGAAGTCAATGGTGCCTGCGTTCTGGTACAGTGTGATCTGCAAAAATGCTGCTATTTTTGCAGATCACACTGGACTGGAATGCAGGCATTGATGTGCCACATGTTCGGGTGCGGGAGAACAAACTGCGAGAGGAGTGGCTGCGGTGCCATTGACTTCAATGCACCGCCCCGCCCCTGAACGCAGGGAGCCGGCCGGGTTGCGATACAGTGCATTCCAGATGCTGACCAACTGTTTGCGGAGTATTACTTTAGAAAATGTATTAACGATCTCAGCTATAAGTGATTGGTCACTGTATGTAAAGCGGTATTGTCTCCTAATGTTGTTTTGATCTCCTGAATCTCTTCTAGCTTAATGTCCGTGGATCACTTGGGGATGATAATAATATTGTGCGTCGGAGTTACAGTCTCCTGGGTGCAGCATCGCTGGTTCATCTCTTGTTGCTGCTCTATATTCAGCTGAGTCACTTTCAGCAGAAGCAGGAAGCCCAGCCGAAGTTTAAGCTACACCGCAGGATGTCCTACCAGAGGTGATTGTCAGTTTGAGTGCATCAAAGTTACATCATTAATGAGGTGGGGGAAAAAGACTCCAATCCATCAAGTTCCACCTCTTACAACTGGAAGACAAAAGAAAACCCAACCACATGCTGCCAGTTACCCCACATGGGAAATAATGCTGCCCATAAGCAGGTTGATTACCTGGATCAACATAATCATTATTATTATTATTTCATAATTTTAGTATTGGATATTCGTTGTCACAAAAGGCCGGATTTGTCATCAATAGGCATAATAGGCAAGGAGTGGCTTTTCCTTCCATCATTATTGGCCACATGTTTTCCATGAACACTAGAAGTCTACAGTCACCTAATATAAGTATAAAGTGGACCATTCACCTGCGCTTCCACATTTTGCTTCTCTATCTAGATGAGGTTTATACTTTGGCATGTCCCTTCAGCATTCTGGGATCTGTGACATGGTATCCCAGGAGGCTGCGAATGGGCAAAGGCTACATCATTCTTGCCTAGGTAAGGAATCGGGAAGGGGGGTTGTGCTGCACATGAAAGGAAATGGGGAAAAATGTGGTTATGTAAGAGGGAGAGAGGAGGAAGGAAATAACATAAATAATTAAAACATAATTAAAGGAGAACTATGAGGTGAGTGATTTCCACTCATCCCAATAGGTAGAGCCGACCTGTGACATTGAAACTGTCACAGGTCGGCTCTACAGGGCAGTGAGTGAACACTAAAGAGAACTATGGGATATAAAGGTTACCGCATAGTTCTCAAAGAACTGCGGACAGAAATATTCTTACCCTTGCAGTGAGGCTACCCCTGCACTGCAAGGGTTAAGTGCTCGTTTTTGCCCAGGGACGAAAATTTAAAAAAGACATGCTCACCTGAATCTCAGAGCCGGTTGGCTGCCAGACCAGTCCCTGCAGCTTCTCTTCCCTGTAGTTTAAGGTTCTTTTGAGTCATAATGTCTTATACAGTGTATAGGACATGAGGGCGCTGAGGTACATACCCTTGCTGGAGTAGAAGACAGGCTGTAGGGCTAGGTCTAGCAGCCAGGGAGCTCTGAGGTTCAGGTAAATATATCTTTGTTATTTTTGTCCCTAGGCCAAAACAAGTACTTAACCCTTGCAGTGTGGGGGTAGCCTCACTGCAAGGGTTAAGTCCTTTTAAAGGTCTGCTTTAAGTTCCCATGCCACAACATTCTAATCCGGGTTATGATTTAGGTGAGCTGCGAGCTGTTGCTTTGGGCACCACAGGCTGTGCGCCTACAGGCTCCTGGATGGCATTTCCTATCGCTGCCTCTTGCAGTAAAATATTCGGCATCATAAAGGGAGACAATATAGTTTTGGTCAGTTATTTAAAAATGAAGCCGCATAATATTAATGATTACGAATGTATAAAGCGATCTTTTCTGTCACCTCTTGCATCAGGCACTGTAATATCTTACCTGCCCTGACTCTTGGCTCAGCTATGACATGATGAGATAGAGGTCTGTTCCTCAGACATTGCTTTGTGGTTATGTGTCCAGTTTAGATACAAATAGTGGTCACCACAGTCTTCCAATAACCGAGCTTTGTTCCGATTTCCTTCTTTTCTGTGTTTGTAGGGCGCCGCCACATGAGAAATCCTATCAGCGAATCTCCAAGTGCACATTGTGTTTAGAACATCGTAAACACACTACAGCTACACCGTGTGGCCACCTCTTCTGCTGGGAGTGCATCACCGAATGGTGTAACACAAAGGTGAGGGCTCTTTGTGTGCTTGCTTGGGCTAGTAATGCAGAAATAAGATCAGTTGCTGTGAAGCACACATCCATTTTGTTTGTGTTCGCTTTTATATTGTGGGCTGCGTAGTGGTTCAGTGGCCAACACGACGGCTTTGTAGCACTGGGGTCCTTGGTTTGAATTCCGGCCAGGATACCATGTACACAGAGTTTGCATGTTCTTGTGCTTGCGTGGGTTTCCTCCGGGTATTCCTGGTTGTCTCCCCCACTCCAGACACACGCTGGTAGGTTAATTTGCTCCCATCTAAAGGATATTTAAACTCAAGAACAAAATGCAATATAATGCAGTCTACCAGTCCTTAGTTGTAGTGGCAGTAGGGATGCACCGATACCGGTATTTCGGTATCGAGTACAAGTACAGAAATATATTTTGTTCGGTACTCGCCTATACCGAGTACCGGAAGTCCCATTTAGCAAGTCAGGCAGTGTGTAATGACTCGCCACCTGGCTTCCTGATTAGCCGGGAAGCCGTCTCCATGCTTCTTGTCACTGGGTGATGAGAAAGCATGGAGCCTGCTTTCTGGCCTATCAGGAAGCCAGGCGCTGTGTAATGACGCGGCACCCGGCTTCATGCTCCCTGGTTCTGCAGGCTTGACTTGCGACCACGACGGTCTACATGGAGCTGTACATTAAGACAGCTCAATTGAAAATCATTGGCGGGCGACTTCTCGCGATATCGCTCGGCAAAAATGCGCGCTATCGTGCGGCAATCCGCTTAGTGTGAATGGGGCCTAAGTGGCAGCATTGGCTTTTATTTTCACCCGGTGATCCTGCCAGTAACACACTTCCTGCCCTAAGAGGACAATGCTCGCTCACTGTGTTGTGTCAATGGAGGAGCAGCTTTGTCACTTGAGGACAGGACTACAACCACCTACTCCATTCCTCTTCTCTATAACATAGATGGAGGGGTTCTGTAATCCCCAGAGGTATCTGGGAGCAATGTGTCTAATAAGAATGCAACACGGGACGTTTTCTGTTTAGAACATTTCTGGCAGGACCAACAGGTTTCTTTTGTTTTTATTGCACAGATACATCAAAATGCTTTTACTGGTATATTAACCAGACTGAAAGGGAGCAAATGGTTTCACTTTAAGCTGAAGAAGATATGCGTGTTGGTTATGATAGTTTTCATATCATTGTATTTTAATGTTTCAAATCTCAATTTCAGGCCGAATGCCCTCTGTGCCGAGAAAAATTCAATCCACAGAAGCTGGTCTACCTGCGGCACTACCGATGACTTTTTGTCTCCCCCAGACCAAGATGTCTTCACAAGCAGCTGCTGCACCTCTCGCCTTTTACAGCTTAAGTGTTCTAACCTGTTCTACTGGAGAAGTGAGACTCCAGGCCATACTAACACTTTATTGTTTACACAATGTGTGCAGCCAAACATTTGTAGTCGCGGCTTATACTGTGTGCCACGTGTATCTAAATGCTGAAGTGTAATTGAACTGATACCACATCTAGTGCGTGCTGCTGTAGTCCCAAAATGTAAATTACTTAACGGATACGCTTCTAGGATACAAATAGATGTGATGGTGCTGGGGAGATATATTCAGGATGAGTAACTAAACAGTGACCATATCAGTGAACAGGATGTGGTGACTTACCACTAGCACTTTACTACCATTCCCTGTATATCTCAGTCCTGGGCAGAGAATGAATAATGATTGGCTCGATGGTGCCCCCTGCTGGCACAATTTGTAGAGTCACATTTAGCCAGCACTGTGAACAAAGCTATCTTGGTGTGATCCTTTTCAACTAGCAGCATCTGACACTACCCAGTAGCCATGACAGGACCGAAGAATTGCAGAACTTCTCCATGGCCATATATGATGGTCTTGGTGGGTACACCTACCTGCGCACCCTATAAGGGATCACACGGGTGTCATTGCATTCACTGTTGGCGATGAAAGCTTGACCAAACACAAGGGAAGCTGTTGCATAGATCAGGCAGTCGGATGCTTTGCTTCATTTGAACAGCTTTTATCTTGGTCTAGTTTTCATTAATAAATTCCAGTTTGTGTAACCCTGTGTAAAATTGTTCAGGGGGTGAGAGGTACTCCAATAAAATGGAAGTAAACTGCCAGGAGCGAAATAATAAGATGTGGGCCCGTGGAGCTTTCTGCCGTAATGTGCATAGCATGGTTGCTCATATGCAAATTGATCCTCTTCAGTGTTGTGATGTCTGTGCTCAGGGGCGGATTTACCATTAGGCAAAGTAGGTACGTGCCTACAGGCACCCTCCATAGAGGGGGCACCTACTCTGCCTAGTTCCCGGTGTTATTTCAAGATACAACACCGGCAATAGCAAGGAGGGTGCATTCTGCACAATTGCACCCTTCTGCTCCAAGACCAGCGGCGCCTACAGGACCTGCCAGCTTCTGCAAATGTAGGGGAAGGACCCTGGCGCTGCGTAAGGCTGCCCTATAAAACGCCTGTCTGATGTGGACAAGCGTTTAGGGCCTTACACGACCCCGGGGTCCTTCTCTGCATATGTGAAAGCCGGTGGGTCCCGCAGCAGGTAAGGGTGCCGGCTCAGGCTAAACAGATTTCCATTCGTGCCTACAGGCGCCCGGAATGGAAATCCAGCCCTGCTGCTGCCCACAATCGCTGGCCTTTCAGGTTTGGAGTCATTAAGCAGACTGATTGCTCAGGACGGGGTGACGTAACTCCAGCGTGTACTTGGTCTTGGCACAGAATCATGCCAGTGAGCTGCGCATGTGTGGCTAGAGTATATTTCATCTTGGCACAGAATCATGCCAGTGAGCTGCGCATGTGTGGCTAGCGTATACTTCATCTTGGCACAGAATCATGCCAGTGAGCTGCGCATGTGTGGCTAGCGTATACTTCATCTTGGCATACAATCATCCCAGTGAGCTGCGCATGTGTGGCTAGCATGTACTTCATCTTGGCACAGAATCATCCCAGTGAGCTGCGCATGTGTGGCTAGCGTATACTTCACCTTGGCACAGAATCATCCCAGTGAGCTGCGCATGTGTGGCTAGCGTATACTTAATTTTGGCATAGAATCATGCCACTGAGCTGCGCATATGTGGCTAGCATGTACTTCATCTTGGCACAGAATCATCCCAGTGAGCTGCGCATGTGTGTGTGCATGCGCAGCTCACAGTAAACTCGGAGATAAGCATCTATGACAGAAGAGACTTCCAGAATCTCTTCTGCTATACAAAGCTTACCTGTCATTGTTTTCTAAAAGAGAAGTTTCCTTTGGCTGTAAAGCAGAGCGCAGAGCACATGGCTGAAGATGAATTTCATATTTAAATGTCCTTTTTACCCGAAACGTCATTTCAAATTCGGTTTATCTTGTGCTTGTGGCTAACACTCATCCGCCATGCTGCACAGCCATGTTTCTCAATGAAGCAGCGTCATCACCTCTGTCCAGTTAGCAGGGTGGTGATCTACCAACCAATGAAACTAAACAAGGAATTGGAACGATGTTTGACGGAGGGGAAAATGTTCATCTTTACAGTGATTGCAGCCAATCAGCTGCAATCATTGTTCATGTATTCTGACAGCGCCTGTCAGAATACAATAGCCTCATCAGGAGATTCGTCCATTCACACTGTTTAGTATGGATGGAGGAATGTGCCCCAAGGCTGAACAAAAAAAAAAAAAGCTTAGTGTATGGCCGGCCCGGCTTAAGACTACATTTGTCATTCTAATGGTGCAGATATCTCTAGACCTCTGGAATCAGGGGCATCCAAAGCAAAAGCCATATTGATTGAAAACACCCTTTCCTGGCCAATAATCTGGTTGTATGTGAGCACATGAGGCCTTTTACATAGTATGACAGGTTAGGGCTGCAACCAACTAATCGATTAATCGATACTGGGAATAGTTGTCAACTATTCTTATTATCGATTAGTTGGTTGGATCCCCTAGCTCTCTCCTCCAAGCTGGGAGGAGGGCACAGCAAGCAGTGGGCGGGTGCAGTAGCCAGCCTGCTGTTGCAATTTGAAATAGCCAATAGCAGGCTGGCTATTGCACCCGCCCACTACCTGCTGTATTTACATCAACTGGAATCTTGCCACTGGCAGCTGTCATTCCCTGGCTGAAGCTATTCAAGCGCCATGTGCTTACAATACAATTATTACAAAAAACGATTATAAAAGGTGGGAAAAAGTCATTTTTGGTTTTGGCCTGACAAATTCTGCCGCGGGACGTGCGTTGCAGTGCCATTCATGTCAATGACGCTCCAAACGCGCCTCCCACCCAGTTTTAGTCTGAGGTAAACTTTGTTTGTAACACTTTATTTGTGTATTTTATTTTAAATTAAAGATATTTATTTAATTTTCTTATCTGATTAATCGGAAAAAAAAATACTGCATAGTGGTGACCAGACATTTCAATCTAGTTTTCTAGGGGGGACTAGACGATGGAAAACAGGCCGTACATTTCAGGCAATGGTTGGTTTGATGATTGCCATTACCTTGTGAAGTTGTATTTGTAGTGAACACCGTACTGAGCTTATTATGTCATCTTGTGAAATAATCCATTCTGCCATGTCCATAAATGTTTCTTCCCTCTCATATTCGGAGGCAGTCACTTGTGAATGGTCTGCGGAGTCCAAACCTCTCCGATACGCGTGCGGTCACCTTGAACTGACTCGTCGCTTCAATGTTCAGACCTGTACAGCAGCAAATTATACTCCTTATTCCTGCTGCTCGGGCTCCTGAATACCGCTCCACTGCAGAGAACTCATCCCCTGGAATCTGTGCAGCAACTGATATTTCTGGTAGTGTCAAATATTATTAGGGATGTACCGATACCGAGTATTTGGGCGTGTACTCGTACTCGGCCAAATGCTCCGATGCCTCGCCCGATACTTCCGGGATCAGGAATCTGGGCAGCGTATCGTTACATGCTGCCCGGCTTCCTGATCACTTGTGACGAGAGAGCAATCAGGAAGCCAGACAGCGTGTAATAACGCGATGCCCCGGGCCTCTTGGTTGTTCGGAAGCCGGCCAATCAGGAAGCCAGACGTCGTGTAATTACATGGCGCCCGGCTTTCTGATTGGTTGGAAAGCCGGCTTCATGCTCCCTGATTGGCCAGAAAGCCAGCTCCATGCTTTCTCATCACCTAGTGACAAGAAGCATGGGGACGGCTTCCCTGCTAATCGGGAAGCCGGGTGGTGAGCCTTTACACACTGCCTGGCTTATCAGGAAGCCAGGTGGCGAGTCATTACTCGCCGCCTGGCTTCGTGAATGGGACTTTCGGTATTGGTGAGTACCGGAAAAATATATATATTTGTACTCGATACCGAAATACCAGTATCGGTGCATCCCTAATTATTATCATAATTCAGGATTTATATAGCGCCAACAGTTTGCGCAGCGCTTTACAATATAGGGAAGACATTACAAGACAAGATGGTAAGGAGGGCCCTTCCGGTGAGAGTTTACAATTTACTTGGTCCCCCATAGTGCTCCGTGGTTCCTCCTCCACACCGATACAGGACACAGTAAGGATGTGAAGGTTGGCTTGAGGAATCACTGAGCGTTTGCAGTGGACACACGTGATTGACACTCTTCGAAGTGTCTGTTTCCCAGCAGATTTCGGGGAGCGGAGCTGTGTTCAGGGTCTGGAAAAGTATTTACTTGATTCTTTATAGGAAGCCTGAATATTTAAAGAACAGAATTGCTGTAAAGGGAACCGAACCTGTAAACATGGGAGCTGTTATCGCAGACTTGTTTTTTTTTTTAAGGTCCTAGCTCTGCGGCTCCCCTTCTTATTTCTAGCGATCTACATGGTAAGTCATTTACCAGGAACACGTGTGTGCATGTCAGGTGTTCTCACACTTCCCTGATGTCTGCTTCTTCAAGGTCAGTGAGGCTGGTTTAGTAAAGGCAAATAGGCTGTCGACTCTGCAAGGGAATATTCCCTTACCTTAGCGGAAATTTACTTTGCAAAGAATACCCAATCATGTGCAAGGAAAAAAACCCAGCTTTTTTAACAGTATTTTTGCTTGCACATGATTGGGTGATGGAAGTCACCCTCAATTACTAAACTATGGGAGAATTCCCTTGCAAAGTGAACAGCCTACCTGCCTTAGGCCCCTTTCAGACGGGCAGTCTGATCAGATCCGCCTGTCATTTTTTCAGGTGGACCCGATCGCATGCCCAATGTAGTCTATGGGCAGCCGGATCTAAATGGACAAGCGTCTGTGTACACCCGGTTACCCCGGATTCCGGCCAGGTCCGGAAAAACAAATGAAACTGAGTTCCATTTCGCCGGATCTGATGGTGCCGGATCTGGTGGTGCCGGATCGGGGGTAATCTGATGTAAAGTGATACATGTCCATTTGTATCCGATTCTCCATAGACCGACGTAGGGGCCGGTCATTTCAGGTTTTTTTTCCTCCATCGCAAGATAAAGGAAAGAAAAAAAACTAGACAGACACAGATGTCATAATGGTGACTTCCGACCTGTACCACTCCAG